ATAGCATACGTATATTTAAATATCTCTTTAAATATCTCAAAACTAAAGTTCTTTGGCATATATTAAACCCCTATAATAAACGCCTTATTTTATGTCCAAGAATCCAAAATGAAATAATATACCGGGTGTTCCATAAGAAAATATAACCTTTAGTATGGATCTCAATTTGACACACCCTGTACAATTCAAAATAATTTTAAGTTATGCACATTGTCTTACCATATATGCCCAGAAAATATTTTGTTTCTACATCTTGCCAGTTTTCATATAATCAACCGAGTTAACATCAATTTTAGAATCTTTGCAGCCTATACATTATTACTTTTATTTTATTATTTAACAACATTATTAAGTCACCACAGGTCACAAGCCTTACCTACGAACCCAGCTCTCCTCTAACCCTGAGCAACGGATACCTTTTTCTTTCTGTTTGAGTGATGACAGAAAAAGTCGTCACAGGCTAACTGCAGAAAGTAACAGGACCAAACATAATTCAATCAAGAGCAATTTGATAATATTAATACACAAATATATTTGTATCTTTTATTAAAGTCACATAGACAAATACAAATAAATCACTATAAAAAATGCTTCAATATTATCATCTGCAAATCATCTTTTTCATATTCAATCAAATATCTTAAAATTTATCTGAGATTCAGAAATATAATATATCACAATAAAAACAATGAACAGTAACCAACTAGTTGCTCAGTGAGATAAAATAAACTCACCTTAATTAAACGCCTTATTCGGCAATTACACGGCAATGGAACCCAGAACCACCACAAAACCTTAATTCAACCTGAAAAACTTTAATAAATTTATTTTAATAAGCGCGTACCACTTCTTTCTGTGACGCTGTCTAATACTGTTTTAGACGGTGATACTGTATTGACTGTTATTTGAAACCTTTTTTAAAAGTCCAAGTACCATGAATTTTGGGCTTTTTTTGTTTATGTTCAGAATTCCATCGCGCCTCGACTTTTGAAATGTTTGTTTATTTTATGTCAGATAAAGAAAACGTAGCATTAAAAAAATAGAGTTCTTACATTTGTTATGCTGAAAGGAGTATTTCTTGCTTCTGTGATCAGTATAAATATTTTTATTTTTTCTGGTCGTTTTTTCTACAGTGGCAGAATTTCTATCTGGGTCCGTAAAAGTGTATCCCACCTCGGGAAACTTGTGATTAATTTTCTTAAATGTGCCAGATTTTATTAAATAATGCCATAAACATACAATGGAAAAGATTTTGTTGTAACCTCCCGTCGCGCGTCGAGTCGCTCCATATGCTATTAGGTCATCAACACTTTTATTTGCTTCCTTTATGATTTCGAGAAATGCCAAGACTGAACCTGTGACTAAACTACCACTCCTTGGGTCCACGAGATCCTTGATTTTCAATCCAAATATGAAAATACCCTTTGCCATTCTGCTGTTGTATTGAAACTGAATGTACACCAAGATTATAAAGCTATACTTTTCTTAAGTAAAAAGTTTTTCTCTTAGTCGGCAGCTTAACTTCAAGCAACGTGCCTTCATGAAATTTCACGTACTGTCAGTTTCCGCTCATCTCGATCTTCAGCCATTCATATTGATTGTGATAGCGTTTTTCCAGTTAGCTGTGTTATCAGATCTGTATATTTTGTTAGCAATCTCCCGTGGCTTCTCTTTCCTTGCATCATACCCTCCAATGTCAGTTTTTCAAACCCATCCCGTCTGACTATGTGGCCAAAAAAAAACAGCAATGTTTTCTGCGACAATGGTGCGGAGCCTTTTCTTTTTCCTTATCTTTTTTAGATCTATAAATCCTAGTTGTCGTGGCAGTTCTTTAATATCAATAAACTTATCTGCCATACTTGTTATATTGAAAGGAGTAGTTCTTGCTTCTGTGATGAACAGAACTGAATTGGGAGGCATTTGTCAACAGTATAAATATTTTGATTTTTTCTGGTCGTTTTTTCTACAGTGGCAGAACTTCTATCTGGGTCCGTAAAAGTGTATCCCACCTCGGGAAACTTATGATTAATTTGCTTAAATGTGCCAGATTTTATTAAGTAATGCCATAAACATACAATGGAAAAGATTCTGTTGTAACCTCCCGTCGAGTCGCTCCATACTATTAGGTCATCCACATTTTTATGATTTAGAGAAATGCCAAGACTTCCTTTATTATTTAGAGAAATGCCAAGACTGAACCTGTAACTCAGCTACCACTTCTTAGGTCCACGAGATCCTTGATCTTCAATCCAAATATGAAAATACCCTTTGCCTTTCTGTTGCTGTATTAAAACTGAATGTACACCAAGATTATAAAGCTATACTTGTCTTGAGTAAAAAGCTTTTCTCTTCTTAGTCGGCAGCTTAACTTCAAGCATCGTGCCTTCATGAAAAAATTTCACGTACTGTTAGTTTCCACTCATTTTGGAGAAACTCACCAGGCCAGAAATAAGTGAAAAGGTTCATAGTAGAACATTCGTCAAAATTCGCGGTAGACCTGATAAGCAAGGAGACCTTCAGCCATTCTTATTGATTGTGGTAACGTTTTTCCAGTAAGTTGTGTTATCAGATCTGTGTATTTTGTTGGTAATCTCCCGCGGCTTCTCTTTCCTTGCACCATACCCTCCAATGTCAGTTTTTGAAACCCATCCCATCTGACTATGTGACCAAAAAAGCCAGCAATGTTTTCTACGACAATGGAGCGGAGCCTTTTCCTAATCTATTGAAGGATTGATATATTATTTCTTCTCTCAGCCTAAGAGACCCTTAGCATACGACGCCAGCAGTACATCTCGAGTGCATCTATTTTCTTCTTGTCCGATTGCTTTAGCGTCCAGCGTTTGATTCCGTAGAGGAATACAGAAAATACCAGGCTTCTGACGAGTCTTATTTTGATGTTAAGCGTGATACGATGGCTTTTCCATATTTATTTATTTATTGGAAACCACTTAACAGACACATAAACTAAACTAAACTAACAACACCCATTAATAATCCAATGGGTGCTACATTCTAAACTAAACTAAAACTAAAATTGTGACGGGGTTTCGTTACAATTGTGTTACAAAACTAATTACTTAAATAATAAAAAAAGACACAGAACTAGAAACAAATAGAACAGAATAAGAAAAAAACTAGAAAAAGCCCCCCCAAGAGGCGTCCAAAATTCAAGATCAGACCAATACATATACACATGATACACATCATCATCAAAAACATCAGCTACATTATTTGAAGTCAGTTTCAAGTTTCAAGAACAAGTCTGGCCATTTCTGTAAGTTTTGGTGCACGAGGTCCCAAACACATCTCACTCATTTTTATACTAATTGTAATTTGACTACATTGTTCTGATAGGTGACCTGAATTGGTAATTTGTTCTGTAATGAGATATATAGAAAGTTTTGTTATTCTTGTTTCACGTATAAGAGGGAATTTGTATAGTGTTGCGTTCCAGAGTCAGACACATATCCATTTACTATTTTATATAGGTATATTAAGGTATATTAGGTATATTAAGGAAGCTATATAAAAATCTTGAACTAGCTAATTCGCAGACACTCGCACTTAAAATAGAAAAAGAACCAGCCGTAATGAATACTAAAATAGAAAAGGCTATCAAATCATTAAAGAGCTCAAAGGAACCTGGTGTGGAAGTAGAGGTAGAAGGCCGATTCTGCATCAGGAGCAGGAGCAGAGCGCACGGCGCATGCGCGAGGAGTGGGGGGTACAGCGCAGGCGCGAGGAGTGGGGGTACAGCGCAGGCGCGAGGAGGAGGGGTACAGCGCAGGCGCGAGGAGGAGGGGAGCTGTCAAACGTCATATGTCAAACGTCAAACGTCATCTGTCAAATGTCATCTGTCAAACCTGTCTTACGTCATCTGTCAAACGTCAAACCTGTCAAACGTCAAATGTCAAACCTGTTAATCTGTCAAACGTCAAATGTCAGTCGTCAAATATCAAACCTGTCTTACGTCATCTGTCAAATGTCATCTGTCAAATATATCTACGTCAAACGTCAAATGTCAAACGTCAATCTGTCTTACGTCATGATTATATACAGGGTGTTAATGAAACAAATACAAATTTTTAATATTTATTTAAAGTATGCAACACATTTACTTTTTTGATATTTTTAAGGCAGAAAATAAATACTATTATAGCAGATGATATAAACGTCATAATTATATACAAAAAATAGAACTATGAAAATCACTGTAGGTTCTTCCTTATCCTTTTACACGTCTGATTTTTTCATAGTTGAACTATCGTTAAAATTGATCTCCAACACTTCTATTTGAAAAGATTACCCTTATTTTATATTTTATATTCGTCTTATTCCTAGTCTCTTCTTCCGATAATGGACGTTTGAAAACTTCCAATAGATCCGTTATTGCTATATTCCATCTCTGCCAAGCTTCTGCCCATTTACACTCAAGGTTGTGGTATCAGGCTTCATAAGTAAAAGATAAGATTTTTGCCGGCGAATCAAAATTGAAAAACCAATGAGAAAGCCCAGAACCTAGAGGGAGGAGTTATTCCAGACCAATGAAAATTGAAAAGGCGTCATCGTCAAACGTCAGTTTTTCCGTCAAATGTCAAACCTATTCACGTCATACCCCAGGTGGGGGGGTTTGGGGTTGGCGGGCGCCTGGGGCCTAAGCTGTCTCAAAGGTATATCACGTAATGAACGACGTTCGTACACAAGTCAAATGGGTTCATATACGAGCGCTATTCACCATATGCCATATACCTAACACCTAGTCCTGCGCCCTCAGGAGGCCCCCAACATATAGGTTAATTAAATTAAATTTTTATTAGCGCATTCACCATTTTGTCATTAATAATTTACTAAAAAATATATTAACGCCATTTATCAAAAATTAAAAATATATAGGTTAATTAAATTAAATTTTTATTAGCGCATTCACCATTTTGTCATTAATAATTTACTAAAAAATATATGAACGCCATTTATCAAAAATTAAAAATATATACATTCACCATTTTAACAAGATTTAATAAAAAATATATACATTCGCCATTTTGTCAAGACTAGAAGAATAAAAAAAAATATATTAGCGCATTAAAATAATAGCGTAGATTAAAAATATTATTTACTTACCACAATAGCTATTCCGTCTACATCAGCTCTGTTTAGGAGGAGGAGGATACGGCGGCAGCAGCAGCAGCAACAGCGACGGCGCAAGGTAAGTACCTATAGATATTAACAATAAGAACTAATAAGCGCAAAGTAATTAGATGTAATTCAAAAGGAAAAAGTTTAGGTAAACAAAGTTGACTTCGGCAAACATCGGTTGTTATCGTAAGCGCGCTGGGGTGTGGCACTGTCTTTTGTCGCGCGCACGCAAGCCCCACTAATTAATAGTTTATAGGATAGTTTAGCAAAAATAGTAATAAACTATATACGTATAGCTAAATGATTTATTATAAAAACATAACGATTAATTAATTTAAGAGTATTGGGAATCAAAACAAAGATTAAATGTCAAACGCCAACTATGTCATTCTATCCGTCATAAGTGGTACGCCAAAACCGAACATCGCGCAAGCTCTAAAGTAAACAGAAAAAATTCAAAAATATGTACATATTATAATGCAAAACATAACGATTGTGGGGGGTATTGAAATTAATTTAAGAGTATTAAACCAAAAGACATTTCTTTACTAAAAGATTAAAAGTATTAAGTCAAACGTCAAATGTCAACTAGGTGTGGCGCGCAAGCTCCGAAATAAACAGAAAAATTTTTAAAATCTAATGCAAAACATAACGATTAATTTTAAGAGTATTACACCAAAAGACATTTCTTTACTAAAAGATTAAACGTCATCTGTCAAACATTGACGCTAAAATTACTAGGTGTGGCGCGCAAGCTCCAAAATAAATAGAAAAATTAAAAATCTAATGCAAAACATAGCGATTAATTAATTTAAGAGCATTAAACAAAAAGGCATTGTTAAGTAGATTAAACGTCATCTGTCAAACATTGACGTCAAAATCGACGCTAGGTGGCTCTATGCAAGCTCCGAAATAAACAGAAAAAATTTTAAAAAATATGTACAAGTACTTAACGCTATAACAAATTCTGAGATGAGACTAAAAAGCAAACAATTCTGAGAATCTAACAATAAAAAATAATTAATTTAAAAGTATTAAATCAAACGTCAACTATGTCAACTAGGTGTGGCTCTAAGCGCAAGTCTAAATATAGTTTTTTTAAAATATAAATAAGGACAATAGCCCATCGTTTAACTTCAGTAAACATCGCTGCTGTCAAACGTCAAAAATCAGCGCGCCAAAACTAGGTGGCGGCGGCAGAAATAAATAAACAGAAACCCCTTTGTAATGTAAAAAACTTTAATATTTATCGAAACGATGAAAATTAATTTAAGAGTATTAAATCAAAAAACAAAGCGTATTACTAAAATACGTACTTACGAGGTTTATATAGCCAATATCCAGCCACTCAACACATACACTTACACCCTTTTTCTTCTTTCAATAGCCCTTTCAATTAAACGCACTGAAAATACACAGTAAATTTCTTTGATGCAGTACCATGAAAAGTTAGAAACAACAGATGATTTTGTAGCTAAAATATAATGTGAAGGCCGAATGACAGACAGGAAACTGATAACACCAGTACTTGAATATATGAGGTGTGTAGAATAAGATTAATATACGAGGTGTGTAGCTAATTTAGTTGACTGCTTTTATAATAATAATCTTACTACAAAAACAATCTTAAGCCCCAACGCCGTGTCAAGGCATTCACATTGGGGACACATTCGCACACCTCATTCACTCCAAACAAATTACTATGAGTAGGCAGCACGAGCACTAATCTAAAATTAATCCAGACGGCTCTTTAATTCGCCAATAGGTACTAAGTCAAAATTAACCTTATAGGTAAACAGTCAAATAAAACTATAACGACCCCTTCTACAATGATAGATAGATTGATATTTAATTAAAAATAAAACAACAAAAGTTCAAAACTGTTGGAATTAAACCGAAAAATATCACTTTACTAAAAAAATAAGGGTAAAATTAGTCTAAAAGTATGTACTTTACCTTATAACGGCCTTTTCTAAAGTAAGTAATCCTCATCAGCATTTGGATTATTTAGCAATATAGAAAACAAACACAGATTCACTTAAACACATACGGCGAGCGTATTAAAAACTTAAGACATTCAAAAAATTAGGTGTGCCTTAAATTTATTTATACCTATACGTATGAAATAAAACGAAAAATTAAAAGATTAATTTTAATACAAATGTATGTATATGAGTAGAGAGACTTCCGTTAATGACGTTATCAGCTAAATATATCTTCACCATATATCTGATTCATATAGACGTACAGAGCGAAAGAACAAATTAACAGAAATTTGTTTTATTGAAATGTACAGGGTGAAAGAAAAATAAACAGAAAATTTGAAGACATTTATATTGATTAGTGGTTTTATATTTTCTTATCGCATAAGTTTGTTAAGTTGCTAACTTGGATAAGTATCTTCTACTCCATGAACCATTTTCTATTTTTTATTTATAAGGATAATTATTGGAAAATAAACATATCATTATTTACACATGCACCAATTTATGGTTCTAGAATTCTAAAATAATAAGACGAACGCAGAAACCAAGCCTTGACAAATCTATGAAATACTCTGACGTCATCATTACTTACATTGAAAACTAAACATAACCTATATGATACATAGTATTCTTGTTTACTTTTGTTTTTAACATAAATATTTAAAAGCACCTAAGACCACGTTATAATTCAGAATATAATATTTTTAATCTGTTAAATAGAAAAATTTAAAACTTTATTAAAATTATAACAAAATGATTTATTATTTAGAGGAACGCATTCACTTGTATTATACGCTTCTTGTCATGATATATTTTAAAATTATAGGGACCAAACGCTAAAAAAAAAATCAAAGTATCTAGGACACATATTTCAAAACATGTTTTGCTGATCTACACATGGGTTTTAACTCAAAATTAATTATTCATCTCACACACACAATCGTCTTAAATCATTATACTAATACATGAGTATATTTGGTTGATATCCTAAAGAAATTAAGAAAAGATACTACACATAACTATAATAGAGTATTAAAATATTTATTAATTTAAAGAGTTTACAGGGCCATGTTCAAATACAATAAAACGCTAAATTATATTTATACATTTGTCCATAAGAGGTAACATATGAGTTGAAAATCATTTTGAGCTTATCTGGATTAATATCTAGGAAATCAAACATATGATGAATTCTGCCAAACATTTAAATAACAATATTTTTAATTTCTTCTAAACAATTTTCTTCAGAGACATTACAAGCTCTAATATAATGTAAAAAGAAAAGGGTCTTAAACCTAATTTTACAAGTAACTCTAACCCATAATTAACAATAAACTTTGATTTAAAATTAATCGAATGTTCATCATCTGTGAATGTTCACAGCCATCATTAGCATGTTTCTATGGGAGATCTTCAATTCTAGTAAGAAAACATATACTGCTTCTCGTAAAATTTTATAAGTTCTTTTTAATTGTTGTAAATTAGCTAAATGTTTAATAAAAATTTATATCTGCTGTAGAGATCTTTCTCCTTTCACACTCGAAACAATCTGGTGAGGAACATGATGAATTTGAGGTTATGTCTAGCGCCTCATATCGACATACACACAAGCGGCTGTCTTGATGATTACTAATCGATCGTGGTATACGTTTTATTTCCTTCCCCATTACCACCAAACTAATTCATTTGTTTAAACTTGTTTATATTCACTCCTAAAATAGAATCTTACGTAACGACCAACCGCCATCTCTTTCCTGAGCACCAGATTTCGTCACTAAGACTTGTTTAAACTCGTTGAATACTTCATATCCAGATTTGTATTTTCACAAACAACATAATATCGGGAATTAAACGATTAATATCTTCTTTCGTTTCAGATCCCATTACAAGGAACAAAATAATTCCATATTGAATTTGATGGCGGTATGAATCGATATATATTCCTGAAGTAATAGTATCTTTAAGAGCATCTAAATAATAGGATATATTATTCGGATATGATTCAGGAGGTTATCTTATAAGATTTAATTGATTTTTAAAAGCACACCTAACAAGCTGAATTTCAGGCTCTAATTCTACACAACACTGATTTTTATGTTGACTTAAACAGTGTAAATTACACCTCCTTACACAATGAATAATGCATTTTTGTGGTGGATTTATACAGACTGTCTAGAAAAATATTTATTACCTCGTAAGTTTAATTTATATTGTAATCATTGAATTTTATATAAATAATTTTATATAGAATCCGTATTAATATTTATATTTTATACTAACATGTATGTTAACACTATTTTTAAATGTTACTACTATACAGGTTAGAAAAATGTTTATTGTTTGTAAGTTTATTTTATACTTTATATAGAACCCGTATTAATATTTATACTAACATGTATGTTATCACTATTTTTAAATGTTACTATACGGCTGATTAATATTTATACTAACAAACTGTTTATTACTCGTAAGTTTATATTGTAATTTTATATAGAACTCTCGTATTAATATATATTTTATATATATTAACAAGTATCTATTTTTGTTATTAATATATTTAATACACACGCTATCCAAAACACACGTCATCCCGCAAACTATTCACAGTGGGCAGAATCGTCATTTCCTTTCAAACCGCATCAAAATTTTCGATATAATTATCTACATCCGCATCCGGATGTAGATAAGACCTATGTAACAAAGTTTAATTTTACTTTAAATATTTATCGTTAAAACCGAGCGGTGATTTATCACGTATTGCTTTTACACCATATATTTTACAGTTTATTTTTTCACACCGTATATATTCAAAAAATATTTTTATGTAATTATTAATTTTTCCGCACTATATTTTCTTGTTAAATTACCCAATACCATCGTTAATAATTAACGATATTTGATGGTCCATCAGGCTAATACAATTTTCAAATGTGTGTTCTGTAAGTCCAAAATTATTTCAGTAGAAAATATCGAACAAAAAAAACAACAATATATTATGAGTATATGAGTATAGAGATAATTAGAATATGGTAGATAATTTGAATAAATGTGTAATGTGAAGGGCCCATTTAAAGAAATTCAAACTAATGATATATGTAAAAGTCTAAAAAGATTACAATTATGTTACACGGTAATCAAGAGCTATATTATATGGGTAAACGTTTTTCTTTGTAATAGCTATACCAAAAAAAATATTGAGAAAATTTCAAACTAATTGGTTTACATTTTGAAAAATCTTTCTTAACGACAGCTATTAGGTTTGACCCGCTATAGATTCGATTAAAAATATGTGAAACATTCAAAGACCTAAGCTTTAGCCGATGTAGGGCTAACCGCTCTATCAGACCTGTTGACCCGATCGATATCTCGCGGTACCTGAAAAGAAAAACATATACAAGTCCAAAATACGTCATATCTATTGTTTCACGAGCTATAACATCATTTTCTTTCAAAAACCACAACATCCGCTAGATAACCAAATTGTCTAACCACCGAAAAAATATGATTGTGGTTAACCACATGATAGCAATATTCTAGAAAAATATGATATCATACCGGAAAACCAAACTGATAAGGGGGATTGCACAATGTTGGAAAAATTCTAGAAAAACAAAAATATGTAGAAATAACAGGAAACCGCAAAGACTGATTACTACTTTTTTATTTTACATGTATTAGCACTAAGTTTGATTTATTTTTACTTAAATATTTATCGCTAAAACCAAACCATGGTGACGAATTTTCTCACGTATTGCTTTTACACCATATATACGTTTAGGGCTTATATACCACTTCTAAACGCTCAAGCTCCCTTAAAATCTTGAAAATATCCTCTTTTTTTCCTTGGGTCTGATCCAGTACATATAGTCTATCAACCAGTTCATTAATGTCGTCGTATTCCAGAGGAGGAGAACTATTGTTTAAGACTTGTTCGTTTATATCATAGTATTCCAGAGCAGGAGAACTAATGTTTAAGACTTGTTCGTTTATATCCTGATTCTTGTTGTTGTTTCACAGTACGTTTTCTTTCGCCTTTCTTCCTTTGCCGGTGGAAATAGTTTAGAAATAATATTTACATATTTCCAGCTCTTGCTTGAATTAATGTTTATCTGGATTAAACTGGACGTCTATGCGCGTTTGTCAATAACAGTATAAACTTATAATTCTCTAAATCTATTTCGGAGTACTCAGTAGGATGCGATTGAGTAAGAAGATTCAATAATCCGCTCGTCAGTTCAAATTTTTCATCTTTAATCGCTAGATACCCATCATCATATTGAACTTTAACTGGTTCGTTACCGATAAGCAGACGTTTGTTCGCTCTTCTAATACCAAATACATTTTGGTTTGGTATATCCAGGAGTTTTAACCTACAGCGTTGTCGTTCCAT